GAAATGATGCAACAAATTCTTCTAGCGTAACAATAATGCAGAAAGCAAAACCAGAATGTTTAATCAAAAAAGTAAAACTAGAGAAATATGGAAACAATATTGAAGACATAAGGGAACCTTATAGCAACAGAACAAAGAAAGAAAAATGAAAACAGACAATCCAGTGTTGCTGAGTTTCACTGAATTTTACCATTTGCTTTCACATAATTGCCATGTATTTAATGAAACAACTTCTGATTACATTGCATCTAAAATAGAGGAAGGATAAATTCTATCCTGAACTTTCTTGTTCCAATAATAGATAAAGAGACTTCATTTTTCTATAAATTGATTGTCATCATCCTCCAGGCTGAGAAATACTTTTTTATTCTGGCAGGCTTTTGCTTTACTGAGTAGATAATGTTTTATCTGATTATTATTATTCTTATCTCCTGGACCTGTCTCTATTTTATCTTATTTTGCTTGTTTTGTATATTGTTATTTCATGACAAAAGTTGTAGATTTAATTGTTGTAGGCTTGCCTGAGTGATCCGCGTGCATTACAAGCTGGGGTTAAAATTTCTTTAAAAATTAACTATCTGACCATAGTTCTTTGTATACTGTGCCATTTTTAACAGCCAAATTGCCAATTAAATATGGTCACAACAACAAACTTTCTAGTTTTGTATGCAGTAAAACCATAAATGCTATAAAATCAAATTCATTGATTGCATGATAGAGTCAGAGATAATGGGAGCCATGCCACATTTCAGTAATGCCAGTGAGGTATTGAAGGGCAACTCCACCCCCCCCCCCCAAAAAAAGTTTATGTGATAGCCCTGAGATTGAGTGGATGGAAGAAATAAAGGCTGTTGTTGAAAATGCAGGCTTAGCATTTTGGCACATCCTGAACCAGTCAGTCATTTTTCACGAGGACTAAGTAGAGCAAGACAAGTTTGTAAGTGAAAATAACTGGCACACAGTGCCGTAACATTTATCCTTGCAGGAACAACAAGTAGGACTTAGATTTAGGTCTCAAAGGCAACTGTCATCATTTAACACAAAGTTACCTGTGGTGGCTTAAAATCTATGAACCTCAGCTTGGAATCCTCCTTGCTTTATGCTGGAGGAGGATGCCGTCAACTGTCTTAAGTTGCCTGGTTGACCAATACATCTGTGCTCTACGTACACACGATGCCTCTACTTTATTATTATTTGCTAGAAAGATTTGACAATGCAAACCATAAGAATGCTACTGAGGATGAATATACACCACCAGTTGCCAAGCAGTAATTTAGCATGATGTGCCGTTGAAAGTGCTGAGTACAAGAGCTGAGACTTAAGTTTATTGCTAAAAACATCAGAGCGTGGAGATGATTTTCCCCTTTGAGAAAGGTTGAGGAATTCAAGAAAACTTTGCCAGATGGTAAGCTAAGATGGTGTTCACTTAACAAGGGCGTCGTCTAAGAGCACATAGCAGTAATCTCATAATATTAGAATCTGGAGTCATCCAATGAAGATGAACGAACTGCCAAAAAAGGAAGCACTTATTCACCCAGTACATAATTAAACTATGGAATTCACTACTGCAGGTTGCAGTGATGGCCACCAACAACAAATAGACCTTTTTATGGGGGATAAGGCTATCAATGGCTATGTTACCTTCAGTATGCCTCAGAATATCAGTTGATGGGGAATATGAGCAGGAGAGTGCTGCCTATGACCTTCTCACACGGTATAAAAAGAGGATTCCTGGATTCCAAGATCCAGGTTTTGGATCCAAACCCCAGCAGCAATTTAAAATTGCAAAATACGCAGCAAAGTCAAGCATGGAAATATAGGCTGTTAAGACTTTTAAAAGATTCCCTTCTAAGTTCCTTCCATAGAAAAAGACTAAATGTTTGGTAAGTTAAAAATGTTTTACTTACAAACTCTTCTCTCAAAGGTGAGCCAAGCCTGGCAGGACAGCTTACTTTATCCAGCAGTTCTCAGCCTTTGGGTCCCCAGATGTTGTTGGACTACAACTCCCATCAGCCCTGAGCTCTGGCCTTGCTAGCTAGGGGTGATGGGAGTTGTAGTTCAACAACATCTGGGGACCCACAGGTTGAGAAAGGCTGCTTTATGCAATAATTGGACTTAAGCATGTTGATTATACGAGGCTGGTTATCCTAAACCATAGATATCTCATTGGCAACTGTAGGAACAGAATGCTGTACTAGATGGGCCTTTAGTCTGATCCAGCAGGGCTCTTCTTGTGTTCTTCATAGGTCTAGGTCTGGTCCGTGCCTGGATGGGAAACTTACCTGGGGACTCATAGGTCATGATGCCAGAGTCCATCAGTGACTGTCAGAATCAAAGGCTGCAGACACCCCAATTAAGAAGCCAGATAAGATTCCTCACATTGATGCTGGTCATCAGGGGCAAGCAGAAGCCTATGCCAGGGAACCATAGAACCACAACTGGCACCCTCATAGGAACCTTCTGCAGGCCAGAAGGTTGGGCATGTAAGGACTGTTGTTCTCAAAAGTGGGAGGAAGCCTGAGAGAAGTGGACTGTAGGCAGAGCCTCAAAGGGCCTTAGTTCATCTGTGGTTTTGGTTGGAGCAATTTGCTTACTCCAATATGCCCTCTGCAAGACCAGAACAGGACACCATTATGCCACCTCTATCTATGATGATAGAAAAGGTAGAATATAGGTGTATGATATATATATATATATATATATCACTTCATAAACTGGTCATCAAGTGGTTAGGAGAGTGTTACCACACCCCTGGATTTCTGATAAGGTGGAGAATTGTGCTAAGCTTTTTCTTCCGAAGACTGGGTGAATGCAAAAGACAGTTTCTCAAGCAGTAAACATCTGGTGGCCTGTACCGTCCTACTTGAAAGGAAGCCTTTGCCACACTACCTAATGTGTTTTGCTGTAATGAGGTTGAATCAGGGGGCTCAATCCTTTCTGAGGTCACACACAGATACTGCTTGCTTCTGAAATTGTCACCTTCCTTCAGTTCTGGTCACTGCTACACCTATACACATAATTAGCAGTACTAGAAAGTCTTAAGACCTTAGCCCCCCGATGCAATCAGCGTGCTTGCTGAGTCACTGAGTTGAAAGAATTGTTGAATAAAGACGCCTGGAAGAAGAAAGGAATGGTTGTGAACAAAATAACACTCTAGGAAAGAGGGCAAGGTTACAACTGTACCTCGTTACTTTCCCACAATTGCAAAGTTTTAATTGAACATGTCACAGGCTGCCCCCATTTTTCAAAAAGGAGTGGAAAGCCCCCATTTATGGACTGTTTACCCACGTCAGAAGAGATAAAAAATAAAAGCACAGTTAAAACTAATTCGTAAAAAAGCAATAAGGAGCACAAGCATCCATTAAAGAAAAGAAAATCTTCAAACAGGCTTGTTCACACAGACTTGGATCTAAAAGTCTGGCAGGGAGATTGGTAGATAAATGTAGCAATGGAAGCCAGCAATATAAAATAAGTAGCTGGTCTGTTCTATCTGCACACTTGTAATTTCTTTTTCTTCCAGTTTCATGGTGTGTGTTTTTTTACTAGCTTGTTTACTTTCGTCTTAAAAGGCCACCAGGGATCACAGAAACCCTGCTACAAATCTTTTGGTTTTCATTCTTGTTTTGTATGGAACAGTAGCGACGTCTTCAGGTGCAAGGAGAGCCTGGGCGATTTCAAACGTCTCCTCTCCGCAGATGCTGAAGAATATCGCCCTCTTCTTGGCGTCTTCTTCATCGGTGACCCCTTTGGCTTCTAGGAGGAAGGTGAAACGGGAGGCGTACGCTTCCCAGTCTCCAGATGCTGGGTTGAACGGTGAGAAGCTGCTGTCGGTTGCCATTCTGAGTTCCTTGTGTCCCGGAGCTGAAGCCTGGATACATGGTGCGAGGCAGCGGTGCGGCAGGTGGCGGTGCTGCGGTGCTGTGTGTGGCAGTCAGCTCAGCGGGATCCCACCTTCGTCACCAGTGAAATATACTCAGAGTTGCAAAGTGATTTCATGCTCTTTATTCAGCTCATAGTGGTGAGGAGGAATGAATGAATGTCCCCTCAAGTATCTGCTTTATATACATTATTTACACAATGGGCTGCACATGATTGGTTAATTCTGGAATTCTACTGTAAGCCAATCAGGTTGTGGATTCACTTATATCTGGAGCATGATTGGGTGGTTCCTGCCAACCAATCATACTGCTGCATTGTTCTAGGACCAATCAGACTGCTGCATTCTGAATCCTATTGTTCTAGGACCAATCAGACTGCTGCAATTTGGATCCTATTGTTCTAGGACCAATCAGACTGCTGCAGTTTGGATCCTATTCAACTCAGTACATAACAATTCTTTTGGTACATTTTTGAACCAAGAACTGCATTGCAACATTTGGATAAGAACAAAGAAAAATTATGTTGGAATCCACACACTATTCCAGGAGGTGCATATCAGGTGTGTAACCCTACTCTGAGACAATATATAGCCAGAGTCCTGGACTTGACAAAGGAGAGTTAATAAACTGGAATATTCTGGTGATGTATTTCCATGGAAGCAAATTGTTAGATCTTCCATAAGTCTTCTGAATGGGGCAGAAGCAGACTTTCCCTCCAGTCTGTTAAAGATTAGGTAAGCTAGGTGTATTGAAAGCAGAGTTATTTACTAATTTATTTACAATGCTTTAAACCACATATCAGTGAAGTCTCCTGGGAAGTCTACAAAAGGTTACGAAACAATAAAATACAAAAATACAGTCGAATAATATATTTAAAATAAAGGGGCAGGCTGCATTTTTAGAAAGGCAGTAAAGTCAGGCTAAGGTAAGGTCTGCTTTAGAATGTCACTATTTTGCGAGAGGGAATTTAGGTTTGTTCAATTAAAGTGGATTTTTTTAAAAAAATGATATTTATTGAGAATTTTAAGATTACAAAGAAACAAAGAAAAAAAGAAGGAAAAAACAAGTAACAATTAAACAATACAAATTGATAAAAATCAAAGTCAAAAAGCAAAAGCAAAACCCATAATACATCAAAATCAAAAAGCAAAAATAAACAAAAAATTTAAAAACAGATCCAATATTCCCAAATCCTTAACTGTCATTACCTTATTTCATCGACCTCCTCACACCTCCCTTTTTTGTATTCTAGTTGTTAATTATCTCAGCAAATCCTTTCCATCTTTCCTAATATTCTGTCATTAAATTACCTTAATCTATTTTAACCTTATATTACCATAAAAAACCCTAAAACTTAAAACTTAAATCTTATTTATACCAATTTCTCATAACCATAACATATTCTTACATAATTCTTTTTAACATTTCTGCTAAAGCCAAATAATTTCATTCCAACATTTTTCTAATACTCATTAATTTTACAGAACTTTCCTAAATAATTTTTTTTAAAACTTTCTTCCAATCTTCATCCAACGTCTCTTCCTCCTGGTCTCGGGTTTTGTCAGTCCTTTCTATCCCATCCATCTAGTTCATCAACCTGGTAACCTTATGTCTGAGGCCCTTAAATCTCTTCCATGTCCCTTCCGCAGGTCTTCTTCATATTTATACCTGTACTTTACTTTGTCTTCTGCTCCTTTCACTCGTGGAGACTCCAGCCTGACGATATTTTTGTCCCTTCTCGACAGATCAGCCCCTTTTCCATAGTCAACACTGAACTCCATGTGGTATTTAAAAGCATGTTTCAAGGTCCCTCCAAAGTTAAGGGCCCCCACAACTCCGAACTCCTCCCGGCCCAAAGCCAGACTTGAAAGGTCAAAACATCCCTGCATAGGGGGGTCTCAATTAAAGTGGATTAAAGCAGTATGGCTCTCTTGCACACACACAAAAAACACTTCCAAAATAAAAGCTGACTTCTGGCAAAAAGGAAAATGATGCAAAAATGCATTAGAAAGTGTGGGGAAGCGTGACTTATTTTACATCTGAGTAAGAAAATATTTTACTCTGATATGGGAAAGTGAATTACACCCTTATAATTGTATGATTGTCCAAAGGCAAATCTGAAATTATGGGTGTTATTGAAAATCATTGGGAAGTGTTGTTCTGATTCAACATAAAATCTCAGAGACAATATAGTATTCTTCAACCTTCTCTTGATCTTTTGCCCTTTTTTTAGTGCAATCCTCAAATCAGCAGTGACTGAAAGTTCATGCGGAGGCCTTGGTTTTGTTTACGCACAAGAAATGGAAACCAACGCGAGTTAAAATCTAACTCAATGTTTGTATAAAGCTCCGACGTTTAGCCACTGATGCTTGCTCAGTTAATCCCACCTAATGTACCTTTTAAACCTTGTTTATCACATCTACCTTATATATTTTTCTCACGTGGAACATGCTCACGTTTTAAGAAAAAACAGGCCGAACCCTTCAGGGTGCCTCCTGCAGGGATGGCTGCCAAACTGTAGATGTGGGGCTCTGGCAAAGGAGAATTGGACATCAGTAGCAGAAGGTTAACGAGCCCTGGCCTGTTTGTCTTGCTAAGCCTGGTAATGCAAGTCCAGGGAAAATGCCACACCTTCAAAAACAGCCAATCTGAGGCTATGGGAGATCCAGGCATAACTTGCAGCTGGAAGAGACACGCTATTCTACACCTGGTGCATTGGAGAACAAACAGTGACTGGGACCATTCCTGTAAATCATTTGGAAGTAACAGATAACAATATATCATTCATATATCTCGGATAGTTGCTGCAAATACTTTGTGTGCTATCTTGTGTTTTCACAGGATAGTCTTTCCTTTGTGTCTGCTTCGGAGTTGTCCTGGGAAAATTGGAAACTATGACATTTCTTTTAGCTGGAGCCAGCAAGACTGAAATGAAGAATTACAATGGGTAAGTAATTTACACACCCAGTTTCCAAATATTTTCCCCAGGTTTGTCTGTCTGTGTGAGATACCAGTGTATCATGACTGTAAACAGGCAAAGTATTGTGTTTTGCTGTATTGTGTAGATCCAGTCCTTCCACAGCTCTTATGAGCTACTCCATACAGATTATTCAGACTCATAGGGCGTTCTTGAAGTGAACAGTTCTTTTGTGCAATGACTTTTAGCTGTGCAATGTAATTCCCCCCTTCCCCTAAATCTGCTACAGAGAATGGGAAGGGGGGCAAAGGAGCAGATTTATGGAGGGAATGGTAGAAAAGGATGGGAAAGTTACATTGTACAGCTAAAGGTTGGTGCACTAGTGTAACCATTTAGTTGAATACCACTCATTATTTTTTAAAAAATTGTTCTGATGCATTAGATTTTGTTTTGATAACTAAACATGGACTTGGATTCCTATGTAGTCAGCCCTTTCCATTTGCAATTATGATTGGAGAAAGGATGCAATCAAAAGCTCTTGCGTCTTTTGAATATCATTTTAATTTAAATGTAGATTGAAACACAGGCTTTAATCAAGTTGACGGGGCAAAAAAAAATATTACAATAATTATAAAAGAGGAGGTCCAAACTAGGTTCAGTCTAATAAACAAAACATATGAACGTGCTTGCCTTTGCTAAGTTTAGCAGGAAGCAATGATTTTAGGAGGAAGGCCTGAAGCAATAATTAGCAATTCATGAATGGGTAGAATGATCTATTGATTGATTTGCTATCACAAATTGAAAGATTGAAACTATGTGGTTTAAATTTAACATTAAATTGATCCTACCCTGTGCGAAGGCTGCCGTGCTGAAAAGATTACTCAACCAATGAACATTCCTTGTTTCAAACAACGGATGTGATCCAGAAATGTACCTACCTAATCCACATTTGCTTTCGGGTTTTTGAAGTTGCATTTCCTCAAGTAGCTCTTCAAACTGAGCCACCTAAATTAGTTTTTATTTGGTACTTACTTTTTTGGCATTTATTTTTACCCCAAATTTCTTCCATGAGGTAATCTCAAGGTAACCCTCAAGAATCTTATGCATATTCCACCTCCTCTATAAAATCCTCTTCTGGAAACCAGGGGGGCACTGAGAAAGGAACATATTGTTTAAGGTGCATGTGTTGTTGCTTTAGTGTGCATGTAACATATCTGTACATTTGGGGTCATGGGCCCAAGCCTGAGATTAGACAGGTACTCTCCTTGCTGAGCATGACTAAGGGGCTTGTCCACACTGGATCATGACAACCTCCCCATCCCAGACCCTCCAAGTGTCCCTATTTTCCAGGGGCATCCCTGATTTTGAGAAGCCGTCCCAGTTTCTGATTTGATCCCGGAATGTCCCACTTTTCCTTAGAATGTCCCTTTTTTCATGTTGGAGGGTATGGAGCTATTCGACTCCCCAGCCGTCTGAAGGAATCCTGTATAGGGAAGTTGTTGTTTTTAATGTTTCATGTTTTATTATTATTATATATATGTTAGAAGCTGCTCAGAATAGCTGAGGCAACCCAGTAAGATGTATGGGGTATAAATAGTAAAATTATCATTATGGAATGGGATGTCCCTATTTTCATTGGAGAAATGTTGGAGGGTATGCCATCCCAATGTTGTCCTGGACCTTTCCCCCTTAAATGCAAGGTTTCTCAATCCAGGCCAAGGATTGAAAACTCCCACATTTAAAGAGGGAAAGATCTGGGACAATACTGGAATGGGGAGAATGTTGTGGGGATGCCCCTGTTTTATTGCAGGGTCAGACCAGTGCAAATCCACATTTTGCTCTGCCATGGACACTTTTTTGCCATGGACACTTTTTTGTTCCATCAGGCATTTTAAGATAGTGTTTGGTTTTATAATTAATTTTTATTGTTTCATTTGTGGTATGGTTTATTTTAATGCACACTGCTTAGAAATGCCATTGATTAAGTAATCTATAAATGTCTTCAATAAAGCACGTGGACAACAAAAAAAAACCCTCCTTGTGCTCTTTTGCCAAGGAGAATAATATTCTTTACCTACCAATTATTCAAATACAACCTCAAATCTACTTCCAGTATTAAAATGTTGTAATATTAAATTTGTTCATGATCTGGCTAAAGTAAAGAACATAAATTTAAGTGGAAGAGGTTTAAAAACACATGTTTTAACTCTCTGAAATCAATAGGATGTGAAAGTGGTTAACTTTGCTGGATAGTGACAAATCAGTTGCTTGGTTGAAAGGAAGCTGATTAATTAAACTACAAATCTTAAACTAATTGGCAACCCTAATATAATATATGCATCTTTTAGAATTTAGAGTAATGCAGTGGAGATAACCTTAAGTATTTGGGTCTCAGTCCAACACATTTATGCACCTTGGCTTGTGCTATCCACTTTGGAGTAATTTATACTTTTGATTATCCTAAAGCTGTGAGCTAACTGAGATTGCAGTCTCATATACACACTTACCTGGGAGTAGCTTTCACTGATTTTAATGAGACTTACGTCCGAGTAGAAATATATAGGATTGTGCTTAAGTCCCTCCCATCATTATACTCTGCAATGTCAGGTTTATTATTTGAAGATTGATTCTTGGTACAACAACAGCAAATGAAAGATAAACACAATCTTAAAATGCTTAAAAGAACCCTGTGGAAATAAATTTGCAAAAATGGAGCTGGGTGAGGAGAGCCAAAACATGTGAAATATGCAGTGTTCAATGAGCTCCAGTACGTACTACAAGCATTACAAAATTTCATCAGCTTAGAACAGGCATAGGCAAACTCCGGCCCTCCAGATGTTTTGGACTACAATTCTCATCATCTCTGACCACTGGTTCTGTTAGCTAGGGATAATGGGAATTGTAGTCCCAAACATCTGGAGGGCAGGAGTTTGCCTATGCCTGGATTAGAATGTAAGACAAACTCTGCAGGATCTGACCTTTCGAGCTCAGCATCCCATCTCCCACTGTGACCAACCAATGGGAAACCCACAAACAAGTCACGGGGAGGGCGGTAGCAAGAAGTGACTCAACCAATGGGCTGGAGCCACAACACTAGCTCCATACCAGCTGCTGCCTTCTGGGAAAGTGTGTCCGTGCCCCCGTGCACAGCTCCAACTTCCCTGCTACCTCATCTCTACCCCCCGCTGGCAAGTGGCAGCAACACTGCTGCTAGAAAGCTAGAATTGTGACTCCACTCCTCCAAGCTGGTATTCAGAGATATAGGGATCCTGTCAATGAAGTTGGCATATAGTCATCATGATTTGTAACCACTGATAGCCTATGTAAATTTGTCTGACCCCCCTTTTAAAGCTATCTAAGTTGGTGGATATCACCTCACCTTGCGGTAGCAAGTTCCAGAGCTTAACTATACTCTGTATTAAAAAGGAAGTGCTTGATTCTGCTTCTCCTGAATCACCCATCATTCAGCTTCATTGTAGGACCCCCAGGACTCTAGTATTATGAGAGATGAAGGGGGCGGGAAAGCTTATTTCTATTTCCCCCACACCACATCTAATTCTATAAACGTCTGTCATGGCCTCCTTCCCTCAAACTTTGCACTTGCTTGCTTTGGACCCCACTTGCCATTTTTGGAAACAAGTGGTGCAACAGTAGATATGCAAAGTCCGCCTGCTGAATTATTTGGAAACAAGAAGCTTGTGGGGGGAAGGCAGCTGCAGAAGGACCCAAGAGAGGCAGCAGAAAGTTCTGGCAGCAAAACAGAGACAGGTGCTGGCATGGCAGCCAAACCAGAATGAATCACAAGGGCCAGAAGAGCTGGGAGGGAAAGGCTGGTGTTTGTGGGTGGATTTAGGGTCAACAGTACAAATGCCTCTTGAACAAACAGACTATGGAAACAATGGAATCCCAGCTAACAATCTTTTACCTCCTACTTTGCCATTCACTGGTATGTTTTCAGCCTATTTGTTTCCTGTTGTCTGATGCCACTTGGTTTGTTTTATGTGATCAGCTTGCTTCTGTCAGTTCCAACGGAATATTTTCCTTTTTGCGTAAGCTCCTCAAAGCAAGGACCTGCCGCTTGCACTCTGTATGACACCATGCACACTGAGAGTGGTATACACATATGGATAAATAAATGAATAAACAAATAAATAAATCTTATTTGACCTGTCACCAAGGTTCTCTCCTCCTTTTCTTGCCATTCTCATTGTGACAGTAAAACTCCATCCCTTCTGTTTTTATTCTCTCTGGATCCATCACCTCTCTCCTTTCTGTTTCTCCCTTCTTCCCGTTTCCTAGCCTATACTCACATGTGCACCCTCTCTCAAACACCTAACAATGACACCTTTCTCCTTCCACCTTCTCAGCCAAATATTCACCCCATTTCTCCTTTTCCAAAACATCTGCACCTTCCATTCCAGTTCTGCTTTGCCAGACAGCTTACCGGTATTTCCTGGGGGCTGGAATGAAAATTCCCCAGCCTTTCAAGAGGCTACATTACAATGGCGGGTAGGGCAAAAATGGTTGAGGCAAAACACCCACCCTCAAAAAAATAAAATGCACCCCACCTCTTGTACCAGACACATATCACTCTCTCCCTGTCCCCCTGCCCACACACACACCAGGCGAGGAAGCAGCCAGGCAGGCTCACACACAAATCAGCATTTCCACTTTTCTCCACTCCAGCACTGAGGTGTGGGTGGTTGGAAATATGCCTCTGCCTGATCTTTAGAGAGGCTTTCTAAAAAGCAGGCAGAGGGATTTTACCTCCCCAGCTCAGTGCTAAGCACCACAGTTCTGAGATCAGAGACAAACGAGAAAGAACAGGCAGAGAGCTTACCTCCTATGTTAGCACTGTGGGCTTCTCTCTTATCTTAATGCTGTGGTGTTTAGATTGGAGATAAGCGATCCCTTTAACTACCTTACGTGTAAGGTGGTTAGAATCATAGAATCATAGAGTTGGAAGAGACCACAAGGGCCATCGAGTCCAACCCCCTGCCAAGCAGGAAACACCATCAGAGCACTCCTGACATATGGTTGTCAAGCCTCTGCTTAAAGACCTCCAAAGAAAGAGACTCCACCACACTCCTTGGCAGCAAATTCCACTGTCGAACAGCTCTTACTGTCAGGAAGTTCTTCCTAATGTTTAGGTGGAATCTTCTTTCTTGTAGTTTGGATCCATTGCTCCGTGTCCGCTTCTCTGGAGCAGCAGAAAACAACCTTTCTCCCTCCTCTATGTGACATCCTTTATATATTTGAACATGGCTATCATATCACCCCTTAACCTCCTCTTCTCCAGGCTAAACATGCCCAGCTCCCTTAGCCGTTCCTCATAAGGCATCGTTTCCAGGCCTTTGACCATTTTGGTTGCCCTCCTCTGGACATGTTCCAGTTTGTCAGTGTCCTTCTTGAAGTGTGGTGCCCAGAACTGGACACAGTACTCCAGGTGAGGTCTGACCAGAGCAGAATACAGTGGCACTTTGTCGGCAGGTAGACATGGTTTGCCCCAAACAGCCTGGTGGACCAAATGGGGAAACCTGGCAGGCTTAAATAGGCTGCTCTACTCCCAAGTAAGCATATTCAGGATTAGATTCAAAGCCGTACATGTACTGAATAGCTCAAATGCCACAGTATGCAAATGTTTTGAGAGTGGGAATCGGAACTGGATTGATCACATAAGAAACCCAAATATTTACTTAAGACAATAATATCTTTAGGATTGCCAGTGAAACAGCAGGAGGTCCAAAAGGGGACACCCCAAGGGCCTTTCATGCCAAGGGATTCCCAACACCCTCTGCAATATGATTAAGATCCCAAAGGTGCAAATAACTTTCCATCCAGCCATTTGAGGCAAGCCCTGGTGTTATTAGGAGCAATTAATCTGACAAGGGCGTCCGTATATTTAAAGGTCAAGTGAAAGCCTCATTTCAGTGAACAGATTAAACCAGTGATGCGCTGCTCACTTGAAGAGCTCTCCTCCACTGTGATAGCTAATCCATGACTACCATTTTTTTTTAAAAAAAACCCAAGCTATTCATTTGCAGCTGCCACTAAATATTATATATAGCTCAACAGAACCTTCATATGCAGAGAAAGTCTGCCATTGGATCCAAGTTGCTGGCTGACAACAGCAGAGGAGGACTTCCATGCTCAGCTTGTGGGCTTATGTTGGCCAGATGTGGGAAATAGGATATAGAGCCATGGTCTGATCCAGCAGGGCTCTCCTTAGGTTCTTATGAGATAATTTTGGAATACTACAGGAAAGGCACTACCACAGAGAACTTCCATTTTATGGAATTAAGGAAATCAAAGACACAACGTTAAGGAGGCTGGGCGGGTGACCCAGACACCCCAGATCTCCCTCTCTGCCAGTGAAGCAGGAAGTCCAGCCATGGAGTCACATGCAACAAAGTTGTCCTGTTAGCACAAGGGCTTCTGCTTACACAATGGAACTTGCTCTTTCTCACTGGTTGCAGCTTTTAGTGAATGAACTCTCAGTAGTGCAACATCATGTCATGTGTTATACAGTACTAGGTGCTACAAGGGAAGAGGAAGATAGGGGCAAGTGTTTTTAGCAGCCTCCATAAATCCTCCATATTATGTAGTTCTGGCCAGATACTTTCATAGAGTGGGAACTTCTTTATAATAGGGGCTCTATTTTCAAAAAACAGTTGAAACTATTGGATAGTATCCAACAGAATAGTTCCCCTTATTTTCCTCTCCCTATAATCCCCCCCCCCGAACGCCGCTATGCCTCCCCAAATCTGCTCCAAAGGGTTGCGGGGAAACCCAGAACTGAAATTAAACTTGGAAAAATGAGAAACCAAGAGAAATAAAAAATAACAGATCCACCCATCCTTAGTCACAAAGGGGTCTATGGCAGCCACACCACTTCATTCCAGAGGGCAATCACAGTAGCAACACAATTTATCTGGGAGTGTACGTGTAGGGTGAAATCATATTTTCTGACGTACGAAGTACAGTGTTGGAAAACACTGAGAATTAGAACCTTCAGGGAAGAGGTCTGCAGTCAGCATACCAAACGGAGAACAAATGCACATTTTCTGTAAAAAAAATCAATCATCTGGAAAAAGCCTGGCTTAGACCAAAGTCCTCTTTCTTTCTCTTCGGGCCTCAGCAATCTAACAACTTGCATGAAATTTAGGGTGGTTGTATCTTATTTCACAGTTTCCTCTTTTGTGCTTCTTTCATTGGAGTGTTTCCCCCCCCCTCTTTTTTCCTCCCTAGGAATGGACTTGTTTATGTTATGAACCCTCACTTGGATTTAATGGATGAAGATATCCTTTATCACTTAGACTTAGGGACCAAAACGCACAATCTGCCAGCCATGTTTGGCGACACGAAGGTAAAAAATAAAAATAATACAGCTGCAGCATTTCTAAACATCTTTCATTCTTGCTGCTACTTCTCTTCCACGTCTTTTGCAGTTTCCTTTTATCATAGTGGCTTCCTAGTTCTAGCTACAGAGAAGACTTAAAGGTCCCACAGGAACAGAGTCAGTGCCATTCTGCAAAGCAACTCAGAAAGTCCGCTGCAGCTACGGTTATGGGCAATTACCCTTTCCTTCTCAGTAAAATAAGTAGACTGGGGAAACTAAACCTGCTTCTGGTATGATGAGCTAAATTCTTCCCTGGGGTAGTTGCACAGACTCCAGTTCAGAAACAATTCATTGAGGAATTTGGCTCGTCATTTTATCATTTCAAAGTTCGTGCAATTTATTACGAGGAAGGGAAAGGGTGTTGCTGTAGCAGCTCAGCTGCAAAAGCTCTTAAGAGCTGTGCTTGAAAAAGAGCAACCTTTATCAAGAAGTGCATTTGCTCACATGCAGAGTTCCTGCAAGCAAAACTCGGGGTTTAATTCAGAAGTGATGAATTCACAAATGAAGGGGAAGTGTTAGAACAAAGAAGGCTGCCTTCTGCCAAGTCCAATATCTGTCCATCTAGCCCAGTATTCTCTACACTGACTGCCAGCAGCTCTCCTGGGCCTCTGGTACACAATATTTTATAACACATGCTGCTTAATTTTATTTTTTAATAGAGATGCTGGGGATTGAATGTGGAACCTTCATCATGGGCAGCAAGTGCTCTTCGTCTAAGTTATGGTTCTCTTTGCATATTGGTTGCTATGAAAATTAAAGGTGAACACTGCAAGGCTGCTCATTAGCCAAATTCTAATTGGAAGTTTGCCCCTCAGAACTGACTGCCCCAGTAGTCGGGAGTGGGCAAAAAATACAAATAATTCATTCCATTTATCTTTGGAACTGTGAAGCCAATGTTAAGCACTTTAAGTCCCGTTGATTTCACCGGGAGAGTTAAAACATGCTGAAATGTTGTATTTCACTTTGGCCACAGCATGCCTTCATTAGTTTCAGCTTTAACCAAAACACTGGCATCAAACTGCAAAACTCTTTCTAACATTTGGAGCAAAATACAAAGCTGAAGTAACTCGGGAACCTTGTAACTAAGGAGGCGAACCTTTTCTTTATTGGACATGATTCTCTGGGGTACCTACAGTGAGTTGCACTAAGCACTTGGGATTCTTAATACTGTGTATGATTAGTGTGCATTTATGAATTAAGTCATTTGTGAATCAGGCATTTAATTTCTGAGCCCTGTGGAAAAGTTGGCTGTTACGTATTGATTCATTGCCTTTTTCAGATTCAGAAGTGGATTTTATTTCTATTTTATTTTAAATGTGGTTCCGTATTTTTGCTCGCATTTGTAGTTCCTGGTGTTATCTCTATGATTCTGTGCAATTCTTGTCGTTTTAGTTGATGCTGTTGAATAAGCAATTAGACCACACGCTATTTCAGCATCTGGTTCTACTTTGTTTTCAGAAGAAATAAGTACTAACAGTTTATATTCACTGCCCACATTAAAAGGACAGTCAGCCGGATTTACTTTTAGCTGAAAGTTACGGTTGCTTCGTATGAGGTATTTGGCTGGGACGAGCCTCAATTACAAAATGTATATATTAAACACCAGATAGGAAATACCAAGACATGGGTTTTGGTGATAATTCTTGTGTGTCCCATTCCCCCCCCTTTATCCCTTTAAAATACAGGAAAAAATTCATGGACACTAGACATTTATGGCAGACCCAGATATATAAAAGTTTTTTAAAAAATCTTACATCTGCTTCTCCTCTCTCTTTCTGGTAACCATCTGATAGAACCAGAAACATGACACAACGCCGTCATTCCCATGCTCACATTTCATTGGCTACCACTTGCAGAGGCAGGGAAATGTGAAGGGTGATAATGTCAGGTCACACATTTTGATCTACTGGCTGCTCCTAGACAAAGAAGAGAAAGAGGAGGAGCTGATACTGCTTTCAGTGTTGTATTTCACTTTGGCCACAGCATGCCTGAGTTTCAGCTTTAACCAAAACACTGGCACCAAAGAACCATGCATCTCATAACATCATCCACCTCATTTCATGACAAATAAATAAGGACAGAGGAAACTGAACAACTTGTTCTGCTAAAATAAAATATGCCGGCATATTTTAAATCCGCAAGATTTCCTGTGATAACCGAGATAAAACCCACTTCCATTGTGCTCCTTGCATGCAGTCTTGCATAAATGGGCCAGGCAGTCTACGTATTTACCCTTCTTCTCCAGGCGTACCCCACTTTGGCTATAAAATCGTATCTTATCGCCAGCGCATGCCAAGTCTCTGTTGTTGCTATGGCTGATAATCTGATGATTTATTTCCAGTTTGTCTGCGTGGGTGGGAGCCCCAACAGAATGAAAGCTTTTGCTCAGTTCATGCATAAAGAACTTGGACTCGAAGGAGATGGCAAAGACATAAAAGATATTTGTGCCGGGACGGACCGATACTGCATGTACAAAGTCGGGCCGGTGCTCTCCATCAGTGTAAGTATGTTACAGGGCACCCAAAACACTTCCATTAGCAGCACAGCAGTAACTGATGACTTTAGCACATTGTTCACATCTCTTATTTAATATTTAATGTGGATCTAGCAGTTGCGAAAGGCACTGCAATGAAAGGCTTTATAATCAAGGGACTTCGCAAGAAGCCAAACTACAACTGCTACAGCAAGAGGAACAGCTCTTCAGGAATCACCCTTATTACACTTGCCCAGCCAGTGACTTAGCCTTGACTGGCAGGCAGCTCTTTGACGAGCAAGAGGCTCTTTCCGTCTTTATGCTTTCCACTATTTCTACCGGCTCTGCCAAGAACGCCTGAGGCCACATCCTGTAATCTCTGTACATCCCTTGAGTGTTAAACCAGAAATATGGGAAGCTGAACAAAGTGGTTACCTTGAAAATGCAGAGTCTCTGCTTCACAGGCTTGCAGATCAGCTCCTAGTATGTGGATTGCACGGCCCACGCTGGTCCTTGATTGGTCACTGTTTGCAGTATGAAGGAGGAATGGGGTGAAGTCGCAGGCACATATGTGATGGCGGGGTTGGATGAGCTCTAGAGCAGGGGAAGCCAACAAGGTCCCCTTCAGATGTTATTGGACCCCATCATTCCTGACTATTTGCCATGCCGGCTGAGGTGGACAGGAAATAGTACAACAACGTTTGCATGGTACCATGTCGGCTATCCCTGCACTAGAGATTCATGCATGCTTCCTCAAAGCCAGTAAACGGATAAGCCCTGAGATGCAGGCAGAAAACCAGGAATGAGCAAAAATGGCCTCTCAAAATTTTCCATGCTAGTTGTGGGCAGCCAACTGTGCATGTGTGTGGCGCGGGTAACCTAGGAAGGGGAGAGGTGAAATTTTGGAGAGGAGGGACCTTTTCTAAGAAATTTTGGTTCACTTAATGTTGAATGGAACTTGATGAGCTATAAGAATGAGACTTGAAAAGGGTATGGGCCCAAGCCTATTGTTTTCTTTAGTAATGTTAGGTAAAGGTAAAGGGACACCTGACCATTAGGTCCAGTCATGACCGACTCTGGGGTTGCGGCTCTCATCTCGCTTTATTGACCGAAGGAACCGGCGTACAGCTTCTGGGTCATGTGGCCAGCATGACTAAGCCGCTTCTGACAAACAAGAGCAGCGCACTGAAACACCGTTTACCTTCCCGCCGGAGTGGTACCTATTTATCTACTTGCACTTTGATGTGTTTTCGAACTGCTAGGTTGGCAGGAGCAGGGACTGAGCAACGGGAGCACACCCTGTCACGGGGATTCGAACCGCCGACCTTCGGATCAGCAAGTCCTAGGCTCTGTGGTTTAACCCACAGCGCCACCTGCGTCCTCAGTAATGTTAGTGTAGTATTAAATATGAAATGCTGTTTCACCCAGCATTCATGAATAGAAGAACTGGGGCACCCATTTCACTAAATCTTCTGCAAGGAAATTCTCCACTAGTTTAGTAGGAGCTCAAAGACAACAAAACAAAACCAAATCTGCACAGGAGGATTGGGGAGAAAGCCAGAACAGATTTAGGAGATGCCCAGGGTGGAGGGGCACCACTGTGAATACAACCCCAAGGTTTATATTCAACTAAGTCTTACTCAGAATAGACCCACTGAAATCAACGAACTTGGGTTAGTCAAGTCTTTTAACTTCAGTGGGTCTACTCTCAGTATGACTAGCATGCTTATTTACTATATGCTGGATTAGTAAATAAAGGCATTTGTCACTGCCATCATACTACATTTGCAGTGTAGGCATGTAAACACTAGTCCCTATGAAGCCTCCCAAAATGCAAGGTAACCATTTGTCCTTCCAAATAAAAATATGCAGAAGTAGTTGTCTAATCCCTTTAAAAGCTGTCTGAGGTGGTAGCATTCAGCACATCCTGTAAAAGCAAATCCTATAACTTTACTATGTACTATGTGAAGAAATACTGTACCTCCTGTTGTCTGACCTGTATTTTCCACCTCAGTTCACTGAATCTAATGCTAATGTTATTGGGGTGGCGGCGGGATTCTCTCTAACCACTTTCCTCACACCACAACCCACTATCATATCTGCCCTTATTCACCATTGTGTTCAGTGAGGTGTACTCTCTAGTAAATGCGCTTAAAATTTCAATCATCATGTCCCCGTAAAATAGGTCAGAATCCAAGGCCTAGTATTGTTAAACTGAGTCACCCAAATTACCCGTTTCTTGAAATTCTGGCAAATTTCTCATTTCTGAGTGGGTACGTTCCATTTTATAACTAATTTAGCAGCAATATCTCTTTCATTCCCTTCAGACACTTCTCGAGCAGTTATTTCCAATCCGATCTTTCAGGCATTCGAAAACGCTACATGTTTTAAACTTTAATATGCTGAGTGAAAAATTGCTGTGGCTTGTTCTTGCTGTTTCTATAAATTATTTCCCTGTTCTTTGGATACATGGAATGTAACAGATGTACAGGCCTGCCTAGGAAATTCCCTACCTACATCTTTGCTAGACAAGTGAGACTTAAGATTAATAGGCTGGGAGCACAAAATTCAGTTCCCATGCAAGTCAAAGGGGATGTTTTTGTTGTGGCATTGAACAGAAGCTGGATCAGTTTCAATGACTATGATTTATCCTACCCTTCTGTCTGAGTCATGTTGTATGTCTTGGGATGCCACCGCATACTGACTTTGAAAGGCCCTTGCGCTACCTTATTAACAGAGGAAGCAGACATTTTTGTTCAGGTCAGCAGTCTTTAAGGTGAAGTCTTAGGGTCACTTCCTGCGGAACGCAGGTGGTGGTGTTTGGAGGAAAACACTGTGCCAAGCATGTACATGCCCCGGGTTGCAATCCGCAAGTGACTTGGGATGTCAGAAGCTCGCAGTGAAACCAGCTTGAGAATGTCACTGAAGTTATGTACAAGTCAACCAGATTTTATAGCTCTGGGAAATATAGTTTACTGATTTAGGCTATGTACACATGAGTGGCTGAAAATGCAGCAAGGATGCCCACCCACCCCATGCTGTGTTTCAGGTTGCATTTGCACTTGCTGTACACATCGCAAGTGCAAATGTACACGGTACGTTACCTGATTTGTTTCTCTGTGCCAGTAACCCCCAGGTAAGCTGCCTGTGCATGTGCTGCCATCTGTGCATGTGCAATGGTTGTCTGAACTGTGCACACCTCAGCTTGCATTTTCAAATCAGATGCAACCTGGTTTGAGGCGTGTTTCTCAAGAATATGCAGGATACGTTAAGCTAACAGTGGTGGGAGTGCACTGGAGAGGAGAAAGCAGTAATGCTTACGCAGGCAATGTGTACACGCTTGCCTCCTGCACTCATTTAGATGTGCAGTAGCTCCTACTGGCACCTATTGTAACAGAGGTGGGGAGCCTCCCCCTGCCTGCAGATGCTGATGATGAACTACAACACCCATCATTCCTGACCTCTTGCCATGCTGGCTGGGGTTGGTGGGGTCCATATTCCCCACTCTTGCACTGCAAAACTCTCTGTCATCTACTCTGCACATGCCACACTTCAGCTTTTTCCTAAGGAACAGCCTTTGAACCAGAGCTGAGGGGAAGGAAAAGCTGCTGGACTCAGGAGAGCTTCAGTTGCAACTGAGTGGCCGAACAAATCACAGTGTCCCAAGAACAGAAGCAGCACAAAAGTGTGTGCAGGTGGGCAAGGGAATGGTAAAAGCAAGGCTCCCAGAAAGCTTCTTTGACACCCTGGTTTTTTGTGAGTGCAGGATTGCACCATTAAGACTGAGCTGGCAGGCAGGCAGGCAGGCAGGCAGGCAGGCAGGCAGGCAGGCAGGCAGATCCTGGTTTAAATCTTGCCTTAGGCTCATGTTATGACTTTCCACAATCCACTTTGCTTTCCATGTCAGCTCCCCATCTGCAATATTGGGGAAATAATACTGACCTACCTTGCAGGGACTCTTGAGAGTCCCATGGACTGCAAGAAGATCAAACCTATCCATTCTTAAGGAAATTAGCCCTGAATGCTCACTGGAAGGACAGATCATGAAGCTGAGGCTCCAATACTTTGGCCACCTCATGAGAAGAGAAGACTCCTGATGTTGGGAAAGATGGAGGGCACAAGGAGAAGGGGACAACAGAGGACGAGATGGTTGGACAGTGTTCTCGAAGCTGAGTTTGACCAAACTGCAGGAGGCAGTGGAAGACAGGAATGCCTGGCGTGCTCTGGTCCATGGGGTCACGAAGCGTTGGACACGACTAAACGACTAAACAACAACAACACCTTGCAGGGTTGTTGCAAAAACTATTAAATATTAAATGGGAAATGTGCTGAACATTTTAATCTATGCACACACACTCTCTCTTAATTATTGGTTGTAATCTAAGCAAGGTTACTATGTTTACATGAGGAGATCTGTCCCACTGAAAGATACAATTATGCAGAACCCTTACAAAACGATTAATTTGCAGCAGAGCAACTCAGTGGTAAGGCAACTGTTTTGCATGCAGAGGGTCCCAGGTTCTGTCACTGGCATCTCCGCATCAGGCTGAAAAAGCGTCGGTTTCAAAATTGTGGGGAGCCACTGCCTGTCAGTGTAGATAATGCTAAGCTAGACAGACCAGCAGACTGAATCAGTACAAGGCAGCTTCCTATCTTCCTATGATGATGGGACAAAAAGAGCCAGAGCTTTTGATGGATTTGCAAGCGAACTTCAGATTTGCACCATGTTAATTTGAATTAAGACTGATGGGATACATCCATACGATACAAATTCTAAGTTGTGCAGTGTTGCTGTTTGATGGTTTGAAAAAGCACTATGTGATTTAGTTTATAAAACCAAAAACTGTCAGAATCAGCACATTTCAGAGCCAATGCAAAGTGACATTCGAGTGCAGTGCAGAATCCGCTTGTAAGCAAACATGAAACATTTAAGGCCCATCCAAACAAACATAAACACATTTCAGTAATGTTTCAGTAATGTGAGAATTGTGTTTAGCTCTGAAAATGAGACTTCAATGTGCCTTACTTTGGTTAGATTTTGCCTCCAGTCCCCCCCCCCCCATTTCTTTTAGAAATAAGATAACCCTGTGTGGTTATTACTCCTGTTTCAGTGTCTAGTTAATGGAATGTATTGGAAAGCTATATTTAGTTATTGCAGTGTTTTGCACTCACAAGTCATATTGGGTTATATCCAATTTTGATGCAGCAGGAAGAATCTACTGTGGAAGTGGGGGCGGAAAAGCAGTTTGTGTCCATTCCTCCTCTTCCCTACAGACCCCAGTGCTCCCCCAAAATCTCACCACCACCTTGGGAGTGCTGGGAACTACAGAAGGAAAGGGAGCTGGCAAAAATTGCTTCCCTTTGTTTGTTAGCAGATGACTCCCACAGGATCACCAGCGCTACAACACTGAGGACACTCAGGACACTGAGGTCCAGCGCCAAGGGCCTTCTGGCGGTTCCCTCATTGAGAGAAGTGAGGTTACAGGGAACCAGAGAGAGGGCCTTCTCAGTAGTGGCGCCCGCCCTGTGGAACGCCCTTTAAAGGACATCTGAAGGCAGCCCTGTTTAGGGAAGTTTTTAATATTTAAAGCTGTATTGCTTTTAACACTCGATTGGAAGCCGCCCAGAGTGGCTGGGGAAACTCAGCCAGATGGGCGGGGTATAAATAATATATTATTATTATTATTATTATTAGAATGGCCAACTGGATACTAGCCATTGCTGTCAATGGGGGATAGCAAAGTTAAATGCCCTTTCCCTTGGCTGGATCACTCCCCACATATCCATTGGCATAGGCTTCTATTGTGCACCAGTACGTTTATGTTTAAGGTTATTATTTTGATTTTTTAAAAATCAGTTTGGCTTAGAATGTATAAAGTTATATTGCTTCTCTTTTTTTCCTTAACAGCATGGGATGGGTGTTCCATCCATTTCTATCATGCTTCATGAGCTAATCAAATTGCTACACCATGCAAAATGCCGTGATGTTACCATTATACGCATCGGTACTTCAGGGGGATTAGGTGAGCAAAGAATTTTGCTGCTACCAGGCGCAGGAGATGGAAATGAAATACATCTCAAGAAAAGGTCATGTCTTTATGAGATTTTTGTACTTAAAAAAAAAATCAACTCAACAAATATCAACCTGCTAAGATATATGAAAGATCACAAATATGTATTTTTCTAATGTAGCATCAGCTTGAAAACACAGGACTTGATGTTCTTTTTAAAGTCATTTGGATTTGATTTCCCCCTAACTGACCCAAATACCAACACATATGAGTGACTGATAAAAACACACACACACCATGTTATCCATATTGTGAAAATGCTTTGTTCCAATGACCAAAAAACTGTTCTCCAAAATTTAGACTACTGCTTTTTTAAAATAAGGATTTTCCATAGAATTAAGAGGCAAATACTTTAAGAATCTTAATGAGGAAAGAAAGTCTTGTTGCAAACACCGAATGATAAGCTCCCTCTTGAAATGGGTTTGTACAGTGAACATAGCTGACCGGACAATTCAGTCCAGGTACAAAGTAACTGACAGTCCTTTCAGTCCTGAAAGTTATCTGAATGAGATCCAGAATTATATGTCACTTTTAAAGACCTGATAGATGACAATCACTGTCATGGCCCTGAATGCCCTATATACGCTTGATAACTGGGATGGTACACATGAGTAACATTTTGAGTACTCATTTTGAGTAAATGGCTGTGTGTACACCATACATTTAAAGCACACACACAAACACCCAGCAAAGAATCCTTGGAACTATAGTTTGTTAAGGATGTGAGGCAGCAACAAACTACAGTTCTCAGAATTCTTTGAGCAGAAGCAAGGGGAAACAAGTAGTATAAAAGGTAAAGGGACCCCTGACCATTAGGTCCAGTCGTGACCGACTCTGGGGTTGTGGCGTTCATCTCGCTTTATTGGCCGAGGGAGCCGGCGTACAGCTTCCGGGTCATGTGGCCAGCATGACTAAGCTGCTTCTGGCGAACCAGAGCAGCGCACAGAAACGCGGTTTATCTTCCCGCCGGAGCGGTACCTATTTATCTACTTGCAATTTGACGTGCTTTCAAACTGCTAGGTTGGCAGGAGCAGGGACCGAGCAACGGGAGCTCATCCTGTTGCGGGGATTCGAACCACCAACCTTCTGATCAGCAAGTCCTAGGCTCTGTGGTTTAACCCACAGCGCCACCCGCGTCCCTTAACAAGTAGTATAGGTGTGTTTTAAGTGTAAGGTGTGGATGTATCCAATTCCACCTCTATGAAAATTCAATCACTTCCCTCCCACATGGCATGTAACCTCCTGCCAGTCTATTTCTTGCATAAACTGAGCTGACTAGCCAAATGTTTTGTTATGTTCATGATCACCGAGATCAAGCTTCCTATAATGTATAATTGTGGGCTTATTTAATGCAGTCTTTTAACTTTATCCCCATTTCTGTTTTCAGGGATTGAGCCTGGCTCTGTTGTAATAACAGACACGGCTGTTGATTCATTTTTTAAGCCGCAGTTTGAGCAGGTGATATTGGACAATGTGGTAACGCGAAGCACGGAACTTGATCGAGACCTTGCTGAGGAACTACTTGAATGTAGCAGACAGATTAAGGATTTCCCATCCCTCATTGGCCATACAATGTGCACTGATGATTTTTATGAGGGTGAGTGGGAACTGCTTTATACATTATAAAGGTCATGACACAGCTTTGCCAGGTTTTGTCTGGTGCTGTCTACGGGCTTACAGTTAGTTTTATCCTTGTGTCTTTTAGATAACTTAAAGAGCAACTCCATACATGATTACTCAGAAGTAAGTACCATTGCACCCAATGGGACTTACTTCTAGGATAAGATAAGAGCCTTAAATGTTGTAAAACAAACAGAAATGAACAACAGTGCAGTCCTAAAGACATTTAGGACAGAAGCAATTCTCACTGAATTCAACAGTTTTTCAACTGTTTTTATAGAATATTTCTTGAAAGAATTGTTTTGAAGGAAAATGAGGCAACAGTTATCTTTAATTCTTCCATGGTTACTTATTATTTTAGATGTGTGGTGAAATCGAATTCAACCACGAACATTTATCAGATAAATAAATGAATATTTAATTTTTCGCCATATCTGGAAGTAGCTGTTTGAACAAGTGCCCACAGACTGTATATTTTTTGGTTACTACATAATGTGGAGTCTCATCTGCAAGTGAAAAGAGATCTAAAGGGAAAGTATTATATAGTTGTTAAAAGGAGTTTAAGGTGGCGTACATGGCTCTCTCCATCCTCACTTAATCTTCATTAACAACCCTGTGAGATAGGTTAGGCTGAGAGGCAGGGACTGGCCCAAGGTCACCCAATGGGCTTCATGGATGAGTGGAAAATTGAATTCTGGTCTCCCAATTCCTAGACCGACACTCTGACCGCTACACCACAGTGGGTCTAAAGTGCCAAGCATATTAGAATCAAGTTTATAAGTTTTCAGTAATGTAACATACTTTCCAAACAATAGCCTGGTTCTCATTTCACATTAAACCATGGTCCACTGGCTGCCCACCATGGACAAAATAAGCCAGAGTCTGGCTTGTTGAGTCATCCAAACCTGGCCTTGTTTGCTTTGCCCCAAGCAACCCAACAAGCAATAACCAAGGTCTGTTCTTGGCTCGTCGTTCATAGTTAGTTTGGGGAAAACGGCAAGCCAACCCCCTTAAAGAAAATCAGCTGAGGCCTTTCAGCATGTGTCTCCCCACCATCAGGGGTGATGCTGATATCCATAGGGCAGAGGTCTTTTCAGCTGTGGCCTCCCAAAGGAAGCTCACATGACAATGACACTCCCCATCCCCCTGTAGACACTGGGGGGGGCCCTCTTGTTTTTTATATGGTAAAATTTTTGGCGGCGGCTGCTTTTTTTTCTGTTGTTTTACATTGTGGTTTTCTCATAACGTATTTTCTTTTTCTTAATCTTTATGTTTTTAAATCTCTCTCTCACCACACACACACCATGACAGTGAATCCAACTTCCCATTTCTTCCTTAGAAAAATCTAAGGTTCCCTTGATAACAATTGCCCATCCATCCCTCATCCTCAACAACTTGTACAAATTCATTGTCATTCTGTAAGAAACGACCATATCGTATTAAACAGTTAAAGTAAAATAGTCCCTTGTCAATAATCATAACATCATGTTAGCAGCTGGATTACACTCTAGTTACTTCCTGTGACAGGATTATAGCTTCCAAAATTACTTTACGGAAGAAAAATGTCAAGAAGTGTGGCATTTATGTAAATAACCATTAGCGCCTCTGTACTACCTTAGAACCTTTTCTTTGGAGGCAATTAAATGCTGTTTGCAAAGTGGATGAAACAGAATAAATGGAGAATTAATAATCTGAGGCCTATTTATAAACTGTTGGATCTGTTTGCAAGCACAGCCATCTGTGGTTTTGCTCAAGGCCACATTTTATCAAAGCCATTTCAGAGGATTAATGCAGAAATGAAAACACAATGAAATGGTTTGCCCAGGTTTAGTACAAGATGAAGGTATGTGCTTGGCATATTCAAAAATATTACTTACAATTAAAATAAGCACAGCTTATTATGCTTCTCATTAACAAGTAGCCTAACTAGATAGTGTGCTGTTGGTGGGATCGCCAATCACAGAGTCTGTTATAAACATTAAATGGCAGGTGGTGGGGGGAGGGGACATTATTGTTGGTGGCACCAGAAGGTAGGCTTATGTGAAAAATCACCTGCCCACATAGAAATTAGCAATTGGGGGGGGGGCAGAATCTCCCACAACATGGCTGCTAAGAAAGCCACTACTGCATTGTGTAGCCAGGCTCTTAGATTCCAGCTTCTACTTAAAACAATAATTGGCAATGCAATCTTATGGATAGCTACACAGAACTAAGACCTACTGAGTTCCATGGGGCATACTCCCAAGAAAATGTGTAGAGTACAAATGAGGCAATTGTCGTGCTATTACAATACTTCCATTAAACTTGACCCTACTGGCCATGCTGGCTGGGTCTGACAGGAGCTGAGGTCCAAAAACATCTGGAGGGCCACAAATTCCAAATTCCTCGCATATAGGAATGAAGCAGAATGAGATCCCTTGCACTATACTTCATTTTTATGAGGAACTAAGATTGGGTGACACTAATTAAAGAAACTACTTCCCAGAGCATTAAATAATACTTCTTTCCATACATATGTAAATATTTTATACTATTTGAGCTTAAAACTTTGCATTTCAATACAGATGTTCCCACCTTCCCTACACTATAGCTTGGTGTTGTATTTTCCTCACTACATGATTAAAAAGCAGCAGGAGATTGGGGCATATAATGCAAGGGCACGCAGTGCACCACCTCCTGGCTCAATAAGTGTGAAAATACATGCTGCTCCAGTTAGGAACGTTAAAAGTCGTGATGGCGAACATTACCAAATTAAACCACCTGCTAGCCAGTACATACTAGCTAAGTGGCACATACCTCTCAGATCAGGTGGGTGGCAATACAACCACCCAATTTCTGCCTCCCCCACCCGTGAAATGTCAGCCAATAAACAGTTCACTGCCTTAAAGCAGAACAGTGGTAAAACAAATAGAGATTGTGTTTTGTGGGCTCCCCAGCATTGTCCTTCCTCATGTCTGAGGTTCTTGCAGCAGAAAGTCCAAATTTGCCACTATGGGTTGCATCCTACACTGCGAAAACGAGCTCCACTCAGACAGCGGGACTCCCCCTTCTCTCCCTGCATGCCCCTAAAATTTGCTCTGGAGGGTCCCCTATCCCTCTGGTGTAGATTTTGAGGGTGTCCAGGGGAGAGGAGAGGGAAGCTCCCGTTCACAAGCGGAAGTCTGTTGCATGAGTGGAACGACAGCGTTGGATACAACGCTATTGTCTTCTAGTGTACTGGTGCTACTGTTGTTTCATTACTGTTTTGTGCTGCTTTCCTCTGCACGGGATAACAGAGCGCATTATCCTTAATTTATTGAATCTTCGCCATACTAATACAATGTTTTCAGACTCCGCATTTTTATATGCCTCTTTGCGCTGTTTTGTTGGAATGTTAAAAAATACATGGCAGATAAGGCATTAATATTTCAACACGCACGCTATTAAAATAAAAAATTCCTGAGGTTTTCGTTTATGCAGAACGTTGGCAAATTGGGTTTTCTGAAGAAAGCATTCTTTGAGACTGCAAGTCAACTCTGCCAACACATGGAAGTATAAAATACTTACATTTCCTTTTCTTTCCTTCTAAGGTCAGGGACGATTAGATGGAGCGTTGTGTTCCTTCTCCCGTGAAAAAAAGCTGGAGTACTTAAAAAGAGCTTACAATGCTGGAGTTAGAAACATAGAAATGGAGTCTACTGTATTTGCTGCTATGTGCAGGCTTTGTGGCCTTAAAGGTAAGACAGAGGGTAGATCTGGCTTTAAATTTGTTTCCCTCCTCTGCTGATGCTTCCTCCTTGCAACCCTCTTCTCTGACAAGCACAAAGTGCTTTTCACTGCACTGTGACTGTCCACCATCTTTAGCTAAAGTGAATAATTAAGGCCCTGTCTTCACTGACACAGTATACTTGTGTCTGATTGAGGGATGGAAGCATCGGTCATTTTGAGTTCTCTCCGTTTCTCATTTTCTAATCTTAAATTCAGTTCTCCACATTTTGCACCAATTTGCAATTAAAAAAAAAAAAACTCAAGAAAAGTCACCAGCATAATAAACACATTTTTGTGTATGCAGTTTTGGCTGACATACACATTTCTGCAAGCAATTTTCCTACACAGAAATATCTTCACTAGTATCTTCCTTATCATGCACCCTTCCCAATAATATATGAAACGTTTGTAAACATTTTATAGAGAACCGCATCACAGAACTTGGAATAACAGGATGGCTGTGTTTCTGTGTGCATATTATTTCAGAAAACACAAATTTGATAGATTTGACTTGGAATGTGTACTAAAGTGAATTTCTTTGCCATACGACATCTGAATGGTACTATTTCTTACTGAAAATGGAGCTTCATATGACTGAATGCTCCTTCTCTTCCCCCCTCAAAAAATTATCTGTTCACAAGAACACAATTTTGTTCTTATTTTATTGTCAGGGAGAAAATCAGGCTAGAATCGCTGCCCTCAAGCTCTTAGCACCCTCAGGCAGCTGTTGAGACCTCAGTTCAAATAAGCAGCTGCATCACAGCAACTGAACTCATAAATCCTCTTCCCTTTTCTAGAATCTGATCCATAGATCCAAGGACTAATACTACCCAAATACTGAGAATTTATTCAAAACCATCATTTCCCCAAAGGGAAAGTCTGGTCCTGGCTATTCAGATTTTATAAATCGATTATATGAGATTGATTGGGATGCATTGTACCCAAGGGGGAGTGGATTAATGATGTTAGAAAAACCAAAACATTTCAAGCCAACTTGTGAAAATTTTCTAAGACTTTCATGTCAGTGTGTGTGTGTGTTGTTTCATTTTATAGTGGCTGCAAAGGTCACTGAGTTCCTGCTGACATTCTGGGGGTTGCATTCACTGTTTTTATTCAAGCTATTTTTAAAAGCTGAAGATATAAAGATCCACTGGTCAGAGCTTACATTTGAACTACTAACAAGAGAATTTCAGGAAGAATTTCTTTGTGCTATGCATTCCCTTCCATACCTCTCTTGGAGGCAGAACCCTTATTGGATTTTTATTATGGGGTTTTCTTATGTATTAGGGCAACCGAGGAAAATAGGTTTATAATCGTTTACAGGTCACATTGATGACCTCTATCAATTATAACTGAACTGCAGCTATGAAGCCTGCCAGTTTCTGTAAGAGTAGTGGCATGGTAAGGAATGCCAAATAAGGGTGCAGTTTTTGCATTACAGTCAATAGCTAGGGTGGCAATGTGTGCAACTTTGCAGAGGACCATCTTCTATTTGAAGGATTTAATTTAAAGATGAACAGAAATAAGAAGGGAGAGCAGGGACCTCGGTGCTACCTGTTATCAGTTAGCAAACTTGGACTGCAGAACAGTATTAAATTTTGTTAATTAGTTCTAAATTTCCATTGATGACATAAATTATCATAGGCAAATCTGTCTTTTTTTAAAAAAATGCATCCCCTCCCCCAGTTCCACTGATTTTCCACAGTACCTCCCCTCACCAAGAAAAACAGCACCTTATGGGAGCAACTTTTACCTACCCTCACCGATTTATTTCAGTGTGCTTAAGAACTGGAAGGTCCAATCTCAGAGAGAGAGATGAATGCTCCATCAATAACTAAGTTTGCCTTGAAGATTTTTTTTAAAAATCATTTGACAATAATGTTTGAAAAGCCCAAATGGTTAAACCCTCTTTCCTGTTGGTCCTCCACTCATTTTCCCAGAAGTAAAAAAATGCCTTATGCTTGGAAAGGAGTTAATGGGTACTGGAAAGCCCCTTTCACACATGAGAGGATCTCATTGGTTTCTGCAAGGAAATATAGTCAATGGTTCCCAGCTGAGAAATGATGCTCTGCGCAGCATTTGCAGTGCATGGGCATAGAAAGGATTTTTTTTTGGGGGGGGGAGGCCTTTTGTTAAGGAGGGGCAGAACCTCAGTCAGCTATGTATTTTTATTGATGGAGGGGCAACTGACCCTCACTGCGCCCCCTCTTGGTGATGCCCATGGCCACATGGAGCCACTTGTCTGTAAAAGAGACCTTTGTTGCCAACTGTTACCCGCTCCCCCTTTCTCAAGTTAAAGCTTTTCCTTTTCCTTCTGGGAGATGTAGGGGAGGCTAGTAACAAAGACAGGTTGGTTGTAAATAAACGGGCTGCAAACAAATAAAATTAGATTCCAGTCACAATCTCTGGGAAGATTGCGTTTGGTCTATGTATCGGATATAAAAAAACAAGCCTGAATCTCTAGTTTTCCCTTCTCCTGTTCACCTGGCTTCTAGCTGCAGTCGTCTGTGTGACTCTGCTTAATCGGCTTGAAGGAGACCAAATCACAGCACCTCACGAAGTTCTTCTGGATTACCAGCAGCGACCTCAGCAGCTGATTTCATTGTTCATCAGAAAATGCCTTGGATTATGGAACCCTAATGGATTATCAGAAGATGTCATCTAGAACAGATGCGAAATGGGATATTCTCTCTCTCTCTCTCTCTCTCTCTCTGAGTCTCTCTCACACAGATTGTCTTTTAAGTCTCAATGTCTAGACCAGCCTGCTGCCCTCCATATATTGTTGAACTACAACTCCCATCATTCCCTGGCCATGCTGGCTGGAACTGATAGGAGTCCAAGAATATTTGGAGGGCCACAAGTCAGTCTTCTCTGCTATAATCTACTGACAAGCCTTCAATCCAAAAGTCATCAGGAAGTACCTTTTCATTGCACAAATATCTGAACGGAGCTCTCTCATGCCATGCATCTGGCAATGCTTTGCCCATGGGTGTCAGCTAAAGCAGCCAGTGAAAGGTATCTTTAGTTATCATTAAGGGCTGTTTATAATAGCGAGCCAAGCTAACTCTTGTACCTCAGAGATTACTTCCCAGTTGGCTCAAAAGCGAATCTACTGCTCTTGCATGTTACTGTTGTTCAGCACACCTGTGAAGAAAGGCTAGAATATTATCCTACAACACAGTGGGGTAACATTTCATTTTAGACATCTGTCAGAAATTGATCAAACAGCCTGGAAATGTTTAGACAGAATATGTCAATGTATAGCAGCTCCACAGCAGCACAGAAAAATGTTCCTGGTTGATTATACTGTGATCCTAGCTGAATATGTAGCACTTTAATGTTGATTTCTACCTGAGCGTTTCAGTAAATACCAGGTGATGAGCTGCATGATGACAGAGGAACCCAAAAAATGGAAGGGAAAGGAGGAATTACAAATTCAGAAAATATGATCAGAAATTACTACCGACAAGTACTGTATTCATATTTGCTTGCTTTTCTGAACTCACATGACGAATTGTCTTTTTCTAAATGTAAAAAGTGTACCTTGTGCCGGCTTAGGAGTCCAATTCTTTCCATAACCTATTTGCTTTTTAAACTGCTGTGTGCAATTGCATTTGAGACTGTGCTGCTTTGTAATAAGCTTAAGTTATTTATATACTTCATTGTTTAATATATCACATTACATCTGTTTAACACTTCTGCAAAATTGGTTAATAAAGACTTTAAAAGAGAAAGAGGAAAGACTGTTGGGGGTGGGGAGTGATCATTTATCTAATAAATATTCATGAAATCTTTAATATAGTATGTTTTAAAAGACAGAGGGGGGCCAAAATCATATTATGGCACTTGCAAAAAAGATGTTTAGTATATTCTAGAGTTTTATTCTCTCCCTTACTTTAATCTCCTTTGTTGGACTAGCAGTAACAAGACTCAGGTTCAAATCCTCAATTGTTGGACTCTTGGAGAAAGTGGGTTTGTTGTGCAAAAGCACCACATCAGTTTCTATGGTGCAACCTGAATTTGTTGGTATGTGATTGAATCTCACCCGAAAATAGCAACAGTCTGGAACCACCAGCAAAACAAGTTTCTAACTACACATATAGGTTTAATAGCTTTGGTGAAACAGGAGTCCAAATTTTTCATGACATCTCTTTTATCAAGTTGCACCCTGAAGACACTGCTTCCTATGAATCAAGGCCAGACGGTATTTTTAAATCATGACATCAGCCCCAAAGTAGCCCAGTTGCCTCAGAGCAGTGGTGTCACACAAAAAAAGACTAATGTTTTCTTGGGTTAATGCATTCTTCTACAGTAAGAGATACGCCTCACTTAGGCTGCATTCAGAAGGTGAATTTTGGCACTCTGTTCATTTATTTTAACGATTTCTTAGCCACCCTTCATCATTAAATGATTATAGGCTGACATACATAGAAAAGTATGACTAGAATTAGCCATGCAGGGAGTGGCAGAAATGTGATGGAAAGGGCAGGTACCTTTTTCTTGGAATATTGATTATATTATACAAGAGACTAGGACCCTGTGGGAGTTGACATCTTTCCACAGGGCCTGCAAGACAGAGCTGTTCCACCAGGCCTTTGGCCAAGGCACAGCATGAGTCCCTCTTTTCGTAATTCTTCACAGAACTCTAGCCCAATGGTTGCCATCAATTTGATTTGAACTGATTTTATAATGAATTGATTTTAGAATGCTGTATTATTTTAATGTTGTTAGCCGCTCTGAGCCTGGCTTCCGCTGGGGAGGGCACGATATAAATAAAAAATTCTTATTATTATTAATTTATATACCCCAAAGTACACGTACCAAACAGCATGCTGTTGTCTACTCTCTGTCAGGCCCTTGAAATGATAACGGCCAACAGACACTGAAGCATTCTACAGGTCTAAACAGGCAGGAGATGGAGAAACCTAGTAGCACTGAAACAACATCATCAATCAGTGCTCATGGCTGTAACTCAGGGGTGGGGAACCTGACGCCCAGGGGCCAAATGTGCCCTTCCAGGCCCCTCTGTCCAAGCATCAGGACTCTCCCTGAGCCATGCACAAGGTCAAACCACCATTGCTCCTGCTCCATGCCCTCCTGAAGTGCTTGTGTGTGCGCACAGAAGGCTGTGACTTTTGACTGGAATGTAGGCTGCTGTAGAAAAGAGTCACATCCGTTACTTTGCTGATTTTGGCCCCACCCACTATTGGCATATGTCCCCCAGAAGGGAATGTGGCCCTTGGGCTGAAAAGTGTTCCCCACCACTGCTCTAGCTGGAAGCAGCTTATGCAGTAGTCATTTGAATGTTACCCAGCAGGGAAGTAGTGGCTGTTGATAATTCCTTCTCTCAGTAAACATAGCGTTTTCTATCTGTAAGGCTGAACTAGATTGCTTTAAGGGCTAAGACCACTAGGGGCACAGAGAGAGGGAATAATCAAGGGCTACTAGTTACCTGTTGTGTAGTACAGTACGTTCCTTCCTTTTCATTTCCAGAGTTTTAGAATAATGAACTTGATCACTGCTGATATTTCCACCTCTCTTAATTGGTTTTATGATTCAGTGCTTTCCCCATTGCAAAATACCCAGGAAGCATGTTTAGGCCATTTGTTTGGGGGCAGCTATGGAAACATCCACAGGTGCAGATCTTTTAATTCTAGATCAGTGGGTAAAATGGGAGTGCTTTATTTTAGGAACAGAAATAAAACTTTTTTTTTCTCTTATTTGAAATCTAAACTAGACCTCAGAGCCTACACTGCAGAAGTCAGAGATTATTGCAGTAATCAACTGTGCCATGCTGCAATGAAAGCTGTAATTTCTGTACAGTGAATTGCAAAGAACAAAGCATCCATCACAATTCACAGAGTGCATGAATTTAGAGCTTTCTCCCAAGATTTGGGGGAGTACGCTGTACTTTAAAAAAAATAACCCCCACACTTTATCATTAACTCGCCAGTGCCAGTGAAAAACTAATTCCTCCATATGTTATCTTCTTTTCGGCACACCTCACCCAGCAATCGGGACAAGATGGCAGCAGTACCATATGGAATTATGTCATGGTGAAGAGAATGTTAAGGTTCAGCAGATAAGCCAAAAGGAAATGGGGGGACAATGACATATTTTGCAAAAAGAAGAATGTATGGGTTACGATAATATGCTTTGTCTGATGGTGCGATACTTTTAACGATTTTGTAGTTAATAGGTTATAGATTTAAACTATGTCCTTGTCAAATTCACTATCACTGGGCTGACCATGACGAAAAATGCTCTTAGTTTTCTTCAGATTTTTACAAAGTACATTTGCAACCTCCCTATAGCCTTTTTACCTGCTTTATTGAAGCAATTGTGCATTAAACAAAACAAAAAACAAGTGTGGCTAAATGTAGGTCGTCAAAATGGATTCCATGTCACTGGAATGCTTGACCTTTTGGATCTTCGTCAACAATTAATGTCTCCTGGCTGGTTAATTTGTCTACACCTTAAAGCTTAAATACTTTTGACTTTGATGTTCATATTGCAGTTTCTGACTGCAGGGCATATGACGCTATTGCCAAACCGCTGGATTACTGATGTGTGCCAGGGATGTTTCATATGATAAAGCATAACAACAGCTACTTCCAGTAGAGACACATGCTGCAGTTTATGACCAGAGAATTCATATATAGGGAAAGTAAATTTTAATGGACTTTCCTATCTTCTCTATTCCTATATGATTTAACAGATGGGAAGAACTTCAATGCCTTGATCCATGAAGCCGATCTTTGAAGAAGGCTGGTCTGTGTGTTGTCTTAGCGTTTAGGAGTATTTTTCATGTCCAGATCTTTACAGCAAGCATACAGGACATGGGGGTGGGGGAGAGGAAGCAAAGCAGCCCCACAAGAGCTGCAAGTGAACATTGAAAAATGCCTTATACCAATTCAGACCATTATCTAGCTAAGTATTGTCCCACACTGACTGGCAGCAGATCTCCAAGGTTTCAGAGCAGTTGCTTTATCAATGAAGCCTGTGATGGGACAGAAACCTTCAATTCCTCCAGGGCCTCATCACCCCTAACAGGCTCCACCTTTTTCTTGAGAAGTGGAAGGTTTTAAGCAACAGGCCTCTAGCTTGGAATCTATCATCCATCCTCCTTTTGGAAAAAACCCCAATTTTCACCCAGGCTCCCTTCATCTCCTCCAGCCAGTAATTAATTGCACTTCTCTTGTAGCTAACTTCAGAGGACACACAATATTTCCTAAAAGAAAACCCAACACACCAGAACAACAACACTGGCCTACACTTAAGGATGTAATGCTCTATTTTCCACCAGCCCCTGAAAGATGGATATAAACCAGGTTACCACGCAGGGCTAATGTATTCCACACTCTCTTGGCCATAGCCCCACCCCCCTGTAAATTGGTATAGTAATGACCTGTATCTGCATTGTAGTGCAATTTTTAAAATGCTTACAAGCTAGGGTAAGGTTGGTAGAGGGAATATGACATTTTTTTGGCAAAAGCAAGACCTGAGTTGGAAAGTTCATAAGTTTCCATCTTTGCTGTTACCTTTGTCATTTTTGAGCTGACACTCAATCACAAAAGTCTTGATACTTGAACTGATTCTTATGGGGCAACAATCACCTCTCCACCAGAAAAAACCTGCAGAAAAGGCAGGGTCAAGACAATTAGTGCTCCACTCTAGCCTTCTTTTTGTTGCAGTTGGCTTTCCAAAATGTTAATCATTCTGTGACTTCATTCATTGGCTAAAACCACTGAAAGACAGGAGCAACTTAGTGCTATAGAAAACAAATGAGAATAGCTGCTATGTCTTTTGTCTCATCTCTTGGGTTCTGTAAATGCCACAAGTCACTTTTTAAAAATGGGAACCTGGGAATAGCTTCCCCCCACCCTTGCTCCATGCTCACAGACACCGCTACATCTCCACTACTGCTACCACCTCAATTACTGCTGTCCCAAAGCCTACACACATAGAATGAACGGGCACAATCATCTTGAGAGCTGCAGCTAGATAGTTGCAGAGATAGAATAAAAAACTGATCAGAAGATTATGAATAGATAGAAAGAACAAGAACAAAGGTTTTACAAATACTCACATTTGCCTTTGAACTCTTAACGCCAACCTCTCACAATTACACATTAGTTTTGCTCGGCCTCATTATACAGCACCCTTTACACTTCGTGATGCTACCAAGAACCAAGTTAAGGTTTATATTTATACAATAAGAATAAACATAATAAACAATATAACATTTGTCTTAACATAGTTTCACATTTTCTTTGGACTTCCTCACATCTCCCGCTCCCACTTTCATCGTTATAACATTTTGTCAGCAATTTATCATCTTATTTGAATTCTTATATCCCTTCAATATTTCATAGTCTTATAATTCTCAAAAAGAGTTAAACTTTCACAGTCTTACTTGTTTTCTTAAAAACTTCTAAGTTAAGTGGTGCTCAGTTATTTTAATCTAGCATCTTATTTAGCATTCACTCAAATCACAATATTTTTGTAGGTAGTTCTTAAATTTCTTCCAATCCTCCTCCATCCTCTCTTCTCCCAGGTCCACGAATTCTGCCGGTCATTTCAGCCAGTTCCATGTAGTCTATCAGTTGCATCTGCCATTCTTCCAGTGTGGGTAGATCTTGAGTTTTCCAATGTTTTGCGAGAAGTATCCTTGCTGCTGTTGTTGCATACATAAAAAATGTCTGGTCCTTCTTTGCCACCCCTTGGCCGACAATACCCAAAAGGAAAGCCTCTGGTTTCTTAGTGAAGGTATATTTAAATACCTTTTTCAATT